TATTGCGTTATCAGTCGACTCTTTGTGTGCACGTGGGTTTATACTATTATATACGTATATCTACGCAGACATCGGTCGACGAGTACAAATTTGCATGAATTTTGTGGTTTAACGTGCGTTGAATAAATTTGCACCACCACTGCATGTGTGTAAATGTTCAGCAATATATAGGCCGAACAGAGGCGAATATTAACCACGCGATCGCGACCTTAACCTACATCAAACTTAAATGTCTGGAGGCTCGTTTATATTACTGAACGACTACTAGTCCGTGAGTGATCGATTGCCTGTAGAAAATTTCAATCATACTGAATTGTAACTTGACCACAATGGGATATTCTATTCCCGACATGCATTTTATAGCTTTTGAAGATTGATGGGACATGACGAACATAATGGGTATTCCACCATATTACCAGTTTGAATTGGAACTACTAATGGACACATATGGAAGTTTTAAGTTTTGATAAAATATGCGTTAGCATTTTGGAATATTTTATGATGTATTCGGAATTTTCAATAAATATTTTGCTAGCGTAATCCAAATACTACATAACTGGTTTTCATTGAAACAATAAAACATGAATGTACAATTAAACTTCACTTTTAACGTTAAATGTGATGTCAATTTTGTTAAGCACCAAGCGATAATAGCTAAATTCATGTATGTATATATGAAATAATCATAAATATTCATTTGTAATCTGATTACAAACTGCTAATACAAATTAAGTTTGGAAGTATTTATTTTGATTTTAATTTGTATTTATTATAATCACATGAAGAAAACTTTTATAGTATAAAGTTTCCGGAGTTCGTTATATTTACAAAAAATATGAAAGATTAGAGCTTTAGTATATTATAGTAATTTAGTTTAATTTTATATGACAAAATATTAATTTTTATCTCATATATTGCGCAAATTATAAATGTATCCACTAAAAAAATTTAATATGTATAAATTTATTAAAAATTGATAAACCTTCTTTCGATATTTCAGCTATGTTGTAATACATAATTATATGCGATGGAAGTTTATCTTCCGGTAAGTTTTACAAAAATTCAGATATTCATAAACATAAATAACAGAAAAATGTTTAATAGAACTTGAGTAAACAAATATATTAATCTTAATTAACCCAATTTATGTAATCATGTAACAACTCTTAAAATAAATTTAAAATTCTCATAAAAGATTTTAGCTTATTTGATAAATTAATTCATAACAAACTACTAGACTTCTAGTGATTATTATAATTGAAAAATATATTAAGTGATATGGTAGGAGAGCTCAGAGCCTGGGTACGGTTGTGACAGGATACGGCAGTGATAGTCGCCAGAACAGCGAATTTGACATTTGAATAGGGTCCAAAGAAGAAAGATGAGGTACATTTGTTCGAACAAGTTTCCATTGCTTTGAGCCCTACACTAACATGATCTGTAAACCGCATTGCCTTTAAAAAACCAAAAGTAAGTGTTTTAAAACATTTCACCAATAAAATTAGGACACATTTTAAACACTTCTTTGCAATTTTAATTTTAGTAATTATTGAAAAAAGCTTAACAATGTATTTAAACTCTAAAGTTTATTAGCATCACAACATATATCAAAATAAAGCGTATTAAATAAAGCATAATTTGTGTAAAAAAAATATTATCGTTTCATTTAATTTTTTCTAAATGGAAACCCAATAATCCATAGCCCCTTATCCATACCAGATACATTTTTGTTATTTACCTAATATATGTCCCATATTTTCATTAAAGACCGAGTAGAGTTATTTTCACAGGAATCATATTTTGAAGTGAGAAAATAGAAGTTCAAGCACAACAGTTCATAGAACTCTACAGTTCTTATTGCTATACACATTTGAGAATAAAATATGTATTATTGTTATATATATTGAGATATAAACATGAAAAAAAACCTAACACTTTGCTACTGATATGAAAACATTTTTGACTTTTCTACTTATTATTATAATAAAATAGAACTTATCCAACCAATAATCTTATTCAAATTATTTAGAGTCTATCTCTATATATAATCTACCTCTCTATATAAGCTATTACAATAGCTACCCGCGAGCTAATGAAATGTCATTCAATAATTTCCAATATATCCGTTATCCATCTATTACGAATTGAATATTTCGATCACGATCTTTCGCAACGCTGACTAAATTATATTTGCTCTATCATCATCATTCATGAGATCGCCACCTGGTGTAACAGGTTAGACGTTCGGCTTTAGGGCGTGTAAGTCAGGTCGTAAGGTGGCACGTTATTGCGTGCGGGTCCCGTAGAGAGTTTTCGGTTTATTATGCCATAAACAACGCAGTTAATCCTATCGTATAGCACATGCAATAAATTTAATGCTTTGATCTAACAATAAGAAAACGTTCAAGTGAAACAGAAGCTTTGGTAAATGATTTTTAAGCTGAAAGGATAAGAGTTATCAATAATTCCGTAATTGGAATTATTGCAATTCCATAAGCCCAAGTTTTATAAGGTTGAAAAATGTGTTAATTAAAATTTTATTATAATAAGTAATATAAAAATACTGTCTAAAAAGCTAAATTAGAATAATTGAAATATACTTCTTGCGCAGATTTAGCAATTTAATAAAACTTAATCCATTTAGCGCTGCTCCAACTTAGCTCTCTTTTATTGCAACCTGAGAATTTTTTTATATAGGTAAAATTGTCGAAAAAATATTGGGATTACTAAAATAAATAAATGTAGACGACGTAAATGTACAAGAGGTTGAAAAAATCGTTCGAGAAACAGCAGCTGGACCTACTAATAATGATCTGATCCAATTAACCAAGCAAGAATAAAAAATATTGAAAGTAGTGTTTTCAAAGAAGAGAAAGAATATTCTAAGGTGACCAAAATTATGAATCAATCCTGTTCAAAATTGTTCCAAATTTCAACAGGTGTTCTAAATAATGTTTTGGTGTTATAGGTGCTTCAAAAACTTAATTTCTAACATAACGCAGACGAAAAACGATAACTAAATTAGATGCCTGTCTAACAAAAAGGCAAAAAATAAGAAACGCCGGAGAGAATGAATAATTTGACTAAATCAGAATTGAGGTTATTTTTGTAAGTATATTCGTTTATATTATTTTTTTGTTCAAAAAAATAAATGTTTGGTTTTATTTGTTTTAGGTTAAATTTAATACATAAACCAATTTTCTATCCACGTTTTTCTAACCCCGTCAAATAAATATTACAATGGCTTCGTTTAGTGCTGTTTTAGTTTGCGCTCTACTTTTAAGGAACTTAATCATCAATTTTTTATTATTCACTATATATATATATATATATATATATATATACATATATATCAGGGCCGGTTGTGCCTTGCATGCGATGCATGCAAAAAATGCGAGCGCACGCCTTAGGGGGCGCCAGAACGAGATTTGGAAATGAAATTTATAATATATGATTCGTATTTTTTTTAATATAAAATCTAGACTACTTAATAGATTATAATAAACAATCTAACTTAACTATGGATACGTAGAAACAGAAAGCATATTTAGTTTGCAATGTGATATCAGTAGAAACAATTAATTACTCATGCAAATTAATAAATTATTGTTCTAATTATTATTTAATAAACTCATTAAATTTTTCTTCGATCGAAGTTAATGTGGGATCGAAAAAGAAATTATCTAGTGTTCAATACCGTAAGCGCAAACCTACAAAAGTTTAAATTATTGGGCATTATTGGGCATTATTGATGAAAAATTGCGAGGTGATTTAGTTTAATAAGTTTAGTACATATTATAATAGAGAAAAATGGAAAATGGGAAGTCAGTGTTTAGAAAATGACTATAAGACCGAGAAACTTAATTGTAACTTTTGTATTTGTTGAAAATGTGTCGCATCTGATTAACTTTGAACTTTGAAGACGTGCGTGGTTAGGTTTATGAAAATGGAGCAAATATGAAAAATGGAAGCAAAATGTACTTAGAAACAAAACTCGTGAGCTTTTTTATACCTAGTGGTGTCCATACTGAATTTAATTATTAACTAAGCAGAAATAATACAGATACAAATATAATTGTGTTTTGTTTTCAATATAGTTCAGGAAATATGTAATTTCTTTGCATCTTATAAAATACGTTAATTTAACTTTAAAACAAAAATCTGTAATTCTGAATCAGATGGAAAAGTAAACATAAATACAATTTGGCTTTACGATATCAATAAGTTACTGATGCAATTTTGGATATTGTAAATAATGAAAAAAAATTAAAATAAAACCTAATTAAACTAACCTAAACATGAAAAATGAATGTTATGTTTAAAAATAAAAATGGGATTAATGAAATAAGTGAAATGTTTCAAAACCCAAATATTAATATTATATATATATATATATATATATATATTAGAAATACTTGAAAATAAAATTTTTAATTATGGTCAACCCGCAAATCGCCTCGATTTTTTAAATAAAATTAAAATTAATGTATTTTATACGCTTTTATATTATTTCATTTTTTTGTGAATTTACGTAAATATTCATATAATTTTAATGATAAATGTTAAAACAGTTAAAATTATTGGGGGAGGGGGGCGCTAGAACAAATCTTGCATGCGGGCACTGAGGACCCTAGGACCGGCCCTGTATATATATATATATATATATATATATATAATTATATATACATACACACATACATGTATTTGTATGTTTATATATAAATGCAGAAATAGTACTGGTATTCGAACCAAGCTTTTTTGTAACTAGTTTAATAATAGATAAAATCATCAAGAAAAACTAATGAATTATTTTCTAAGATTAGAATAATAGATTATATCATAGACCATTCAATGAATCAAAAAATAATACATACAGGATTATTTACATAATGAATTAGTTACCGAATCATAAACTAGAAATTTATCTAGAATATTTGATTTATCACATACGATAATGAATAAGATTTGTAAGAATATTAGGAAAATTTAATCTAACTTACAGTTAATGTTTGAAACCTTCTGCAATGTGTTCACTTGCGGCTTGTGTAATATGTTCACCTGCAAAAGAAAAATTATATTTAAACATTTATGCTTTGAAATATGAATATAACTTTTCCTAATTATTCGAATTCATTACAGGACGTGTTTGTTCTAGTTTAATATTACACACATTTCTATGATAAAACTTTAAAATGATTTTTAAATTTTTTTTAAGTGGTTTGTTAATGTGAAATGAAAAATTCTACACCATAGATACAGCATTAACAAAATTGCTATGTACATTATGCTTCAGCACGTACGCTTGCGATTAATGCATATTCAGTAAAAGTATGGAAATATTTTATTGTTTTTTTTATTCCAATACATACATTTTATGAACCATCATGTGCGTTACGGAATTTATTATGTGAAGCTTGCTAGAATATTAATTAATCATAAAAATATGTTTTCCATACACAAAAAGTTTGCAGTTTCAAGCTTAGAAGCATGCTATTGTTTTGGATATGATAATACCATATCATAGCATATCATATCCAAAACAATAGCACGCCTTTAAGCTTGAAACTGCAAACTTTTCTAAAAAAATCCTAAACATCAGAATTTTTAAGAAAGTGAAGAAAGTTTAAATTATTTGGTTACATGATTATATATTAAGGAACAATATAATAATGATTATATAAATCTAAGTAATATTCTAATAAAATAAATTTGCATTTCACACAAAAAAACGAATAACTTAGTGTTTCAACATCATTCTGAAATTTTGCCCAATTGTAATTTTAGCCATGATAATGCATAGTACATTTACACAATAGCTCGAATATGCAAAACAGTTGTTATGGCCCTATTATCTAGCTTTGATAATTTGTTAATAATATTTACAATAGCATAAATTATTTATTAGCATTGAGTAAACATGCCAAATTAACCTATTTTGGTAGAATATAAATTCAAATGGTCTGTTTTGTTTTGTGTTGCTATATATCAAATATCACAAAAAGCTTATTAAGATTAAATTAGTATTTAGAAATAATATTGATTTACAAGTTAGTATATATCTTATATTATTAACATATTTCTCAAATTTAAATGATATATATATATATATATATATATATATATATATATATATTATAAATGCGATGCTGGTTTGAAGATTACATAATAATATGATTAATTTTTTGCTTGGTCTATTTTCAATTGAGTTTAACGTACTTTGACAAGGGAAAATTGCCAATATCTACGGTGATGCCCGACAAGGGATAGTGTACACAAGAATCCTAAAGTACATAATCTGATGGCATACCCTAGTAAATACAAATTTCCCTTGAAAGAAGGAGCACTTGATAAAGAAAACATTCACAAAATGATAACGGTTCTTTCGGAATATAAGATGAAGGAAAATAATATTTTTATTGGATATTCTGCTCTTAAATGCTTCATAAATTTTTAAAAACAAGAGGTACAATGCTTTCATTGTACTGAAAATACTATTTATGAGTAGAATTGAAAAATGCTGTTTACACATCCATTTAAAACTATATATATATATATATATATATATATATATATATATATATATATATATATATATATATTATATTACGCTATATTATATCATATTATATTATATTATATCATATCACTTATTAACTTCCCGTAGAGCAAGTTATAGTAATCGCAAAAAATCGAAAATGAAAATTTTTCCATTTCTCGACGTTTCAAAGGTTTCTGAATATTTTCGCATACCTTAGAAAAAATGAATATGTGTGTGTGTGCGTGTATGCACACGGATCAACCGATTTGGATAATTTAAAAAAACATTCGATTCGTATTGATAAGGAGACGTGCTGATTAGTTTTTGGCGAAGGCAGGTCTAGCCGTTCCGAAGAGTTCAAAAGTGCCGAGAACAATAAATCAGTTTTTAAGAGAACGGAGCGTCCGATATTAATAATTCAATTCAATTCGATTCGTACTGATAAGGAGACGTGCTGATTAGTTTTTGACGAAGGCAGGTCTAGCCGTTCCAAAAATACGGGGCAAAAAGTGCCGAAAACAGTAACTCAGTTTTTAAGAGAACGGAGCGTCCGATATTAATAATTCAAAAAACATTTTACTTGTATTAACAAGATGAAGGATTGATCAAATTTTCATGAGGGCAGGTCTAGCGGTTTCGAAGATCTAACGGAAAAAGTAAAAAAAAAATGCCATTTGGAGGTCAAAAGTGATCATTAGACATATGCACATCAAATTATCAGCTATTTTATTAATTTATATTAATATCTCAATAATATTCTATGCAAGTGTATACGAATTTATTATAGGTTAAAGTTTCATATCAATTTCATTTCATTTTAAAAACCCAGGTAATTTTCTTTAATTAATTTTATATTTATGTAATAAAATATTTGATTGTATAATATATTTTTTTAGTTGTTTGCAAATTTAGAAAAATATATACTGACTATCATCAAACAAATAGCTAAAAAAATATCATCACTAACAGCATCGCTTACATTCCAGCACTTTTTCAACAATGTCTATCCGACCGTAATTTACCACGACGTGCTCTTGTTAACAGACATGTATTATTCAGAAATAGTCTACGCATTGTGCTGATACGAGTTTTACTTTGCTATAATTCAAAAACTAAATTTATTTATCACCTAGCCTTACTAGAAAATGTGTGCGTTATACATAATAACGTAATAAATCATAAGGTGGGCTTTACGCAAAACTTGCTGGATCGTGCACCCTCTTGGGGCATTTTATTTATGGTCGCATCGGTCACAACTCGTTTGTAGAATGACTTGACCTTTTGCAGGTTAGTCTACTTATCGAGATATGGATTTTCACGTAGTCTGATTTTTCTGAGAGAATATAAAATATGCTTCTTAAAATATTGCTTCTTTATGATATATTAGAATATCATGTTACAAAAGATATATTTTTATAAAATAATAATAAAGCATAGCATAAATATTTTAATATGTGTATTTATAGTTCAGTTTGTTCGTGTTAGCCATTATTTTCAAATTTATCGATTATTGTACTAAGAAATTACTATTACTGATCTTCTGGAAATTTCACATTATATTAAATTTTTTAATGATTTTTTCAAATTTGAACGTAAAAAATTGCAGAATTCACAAAATTAAATCAACATATGCTTGGAATTTTGAAAATTTGCACCTTGTATAAACAATATTTTTCATCACAAATTTTCTTATCTCATTTTACGTATTCTAAAATATATTTGTAGTATCTATTGAACTAGGCCCAATGAAATCTAATGAGAAAACAAAAACACCAAGAAAAGCAGAGGAAGAAGGCATTGAAAAAGTTTTAAAATAAATAACAGAGGTAAAAAATAGTATTTTCTCATGTTGTGAATTACTTTTTGTAGAATTTTGTAATATAATTATAAATTTTGTGTATAAGATACAAAAAAATAATTTAGGGGAGACTGGTTACGGTTGTACCAGTGCACGGTAGTGACAGTCGCCATAACAACTAAACCATTATGGATCAAATGGTGAAAGAGGAAGTATGTTTGTTTGAACATGTTTCCATTATTGCATTGAGTCAGTGCCCTACATTAACATGTTATGTAGATCGCATTGCTTCCACAGAGTCAAAAAAAAGTTTCTTTATTCGATTTTTATTTAATAATAACTTTAGTTATTATTTAATAATACTTTAACAATAGTCACTTTGTTACTATGCTGTAAGTTAATTACCTGCAATTAGTTTTTGCAAAGGTATTTTAGTTCAGTCATAACGATGATTTGTTTTCAAACGTATGCTAATTGATAAATTATCAAATTTATGGCTGATAAAAAAATGACAGATCCGTACCCAGTCTCCCCTACTGGTATTATAAACATGGTCAATATAGAATGTAAAAAAATGCTAATATATAAAAAAACTGATGAAATTTACGATTTAAAAATAAATTCAAACTAAATTTTACTCTGCAAGATTTTTAAAATAGTAGTTTCATACGTATTTATATCAATTTGTTCAGAATACTTATCTCGTCCAGTTTGTGTCTTTATAAAAACAATTCACCGAAGTTGACATCCTTTTGAATAAATATTTTCAGAAACATCTAAAAATAAATAGGATTCGTGAGGATGTCCGTGCATTTTGATGAGTTTATCCTTCTTTTTCATATTCTAATGCTAGCCCAGCCGAATCCTCTTCTAAAAAAAAACATTTTTGTTTTGCACAGGACCCATATGGCGGCGGTATCGTTACGAAAGGATAAAAAAGTTCAGCGCACATTCGGGTTGAATCGTATTGCGTATTAAATTATTCAAACGGCAAGCAACATCGAGACACTGGGCGAAATACCGGAATACCTATACAGATCTCAAAATGTTGTTGCTTCTGGTAATATTTTCAATCCAGACGGAAGATAACCGACATTGGAAATGAAATATATGGACTGTAAATAAAAGTAAATATAACACGTACGAATATAAGTTCTCGTACCGAAATAACATTGACAATTTTCTAGAGGGATATATTTTTTAATTTGAAAAGGAGGTATGTTATTTTAGGAAGAAATCAGATATCTTTCGCTGGTTTGAATTGGTTTAAATTACTTATATGGGTATTTACAGATTTCATCAAGATTCTTATGATTTTTTATTATTAAAATTTGTAATTGTAATTGTGTAAGTTGTGTAATTTATATACTCGTATATATATATATATATATATATATATATATATATAATAGCAAAACATTTTTCTGTATGATGCAGTAGTAGGGGTCTCACATATTGCAATCTACATTTCCAAGTAATTTACGACTACTGACTCAAATCTCGTAGCTCTAACAAAGGTGAGCCCACAATATGAACTCAAACGTAGCTTGAACATCATAAAAAAATATTTAAAAAACTTTGGTTTGGAAAATAACAAAAATAACATTTTATAATATCTCTATTTATATAAATAGTTTGAGATTTGAGTATTCTATTTTTTTTTTAACTAATTGAATTTCTTTAAGTGTATTCATGTTTTAAACTACAAAAAATTATACGCAG